GACGTCTGAGCGTCCCTTCTTCCTCTCGGCCGTCCCTCCCCCCCTCTTTGCCCGCCGGCCAATTCGCTACTTAGTGCCCCTGTCTAGCTTCTCGCTGGAGTTGAGTTCGCCGCCTCGCCGCTGACGAAAAAATGTGTGTGTGTGCGCGTGCGCGTGCGCGTGCGTGTGCGTGTGCGCGTGCGCGTGTGAGTGTGCGTGTGTGTGTGAGTGTGTGTGCGAACGTGTGCATGTGTGTAAACGTGTGTGAGCGTGTGTGAACGTGTGTGAACATGTGTGTATGTGTGTGGTGGGTGTGTGGATGCTCGTGTTTTTGATTGTGCTTGTACTTGTGCTTGTGTTTGTGTTTGTGCTTGTTCAGGCCGACCCCTCACCTCGAGGCGGTCTCGTTCTGGTCGCCGCCGGCGTGAGGCTCACGTGACCTCGGCACCCGCTGGCCTTTTGGCGTTGCGCGCACACCTTCGCCTCCAGCTTCTGCTGGGCACTGCCCTCCAGCACAGCCTGCTGCCTGGCAGCCTGCCATGCCAGCTTCCCCCCCCCCCCAGCTGCCGCCCCGCTGCTGCTGGCCCCCACCCCCGGCGCCGCCCCGCCGCGCGCCTGGCCCTGCTCTGAACGGGCCCGGCCTCCGTCTCCCTCCCGTCACCGCTGGGCGTCCTCCTCTCCCCCCCCTCGTGCACCGCGGCCTAATTCGCGTTCGCTTATCTTACCAACGCCCTATCCGCCAGCGCAGTCCCACTGCCTAGCCGCCGACGTAAAAAAGTGTTTGTGTTTGTGCGTCTGCGTGTGCGTGTGCACATGTGTGCCGGCATGGGAGTGTGCGAATGTGAGTGAGGGCGTGAGTGTGTGAAGGTGCGATTCTGGTGGCCTACAAAGCTTTGTCAGGGATGCCAGTGTGCAAGGGATACCAAACATGCCAATAAGATGCAAGGATGCGGGCGCAAAATAACCCCAGTAATGAGGGTATGGACAACGAAAAGTCCGAAGCGGCTAAGAGTTGGCTCCAGACGTGCGTAATCAGCCACAGGAATGGAGCTCTGGAAACAGGAAGAACCCGAAGTGACCTACAGTTGGTTCCAGACATGCGAAGTGATTGGGAGTGGAGTTCTGAGAGCTCGAGAAGCACAAAGCGGCCTACAGTTGGCTCTGGACACTCGAAATCAGCACTGCGAATGCGGTTCTGGACCAGAGATTCCACAACCATGTGTTTCACAGGTTTCCCGATGGCCGCCTCGGATTGGTCATATGAAAAGTGGGCCCCACACAGAGGGGGCTCCCGCCTGAGACTTCCTCGCAACTGACTCACTAACGAAACTCCCGCTCGGAACTTCTGGAGTACAAGTGTACGAGTGTGTGCGTGTGTCTGTGTGCGACTGTGCTTGTGCGAATGTGTGTGAATGATTGTGAATGTGTGCGAATGTGAATGCGACTGTGTGGATGTGTGAGTGAACGTGCGTGGATTCGTCTGTGAATGCAAGTGTATGAGTGTGTGTGTGCATGTGTGCGAATGTATATGTGAATGTGTGTCTGAATGTGTGTATGTGTGCCTGTGTGTTTGCGTGTGTGTTGGCGGGGCTGCTGCCCACCCCCGCCTGGTTGCGACGCGCGCACCGGCCAGACAGGGCGCTTTTCGTCCCTCTCCTTTCCTCTGCCGCCTTCCTGCTCCCCTCGCTCCAGCGCCGCCATGGTGACGCCTGGGCCGCTGCCGCCGCGCGCTCCCAGCCGGCGCTCCCAGCCTCTGCTGGCCCCGCGTCGGCAGTCGTCAGCATCCTGGTGGTCGGTTACAGACCGCATTTTACCGCAGCCCACGCGCTTCGCCCCGTGCGGGCATATTGTGCTTCGCCTGGACCATCCTGGTCCCGCATCCAGCTGGCGCCGGCCCTCTGCAGTCAAGCCTGACGTTCCCGGCAAGGTGACGGACCACTGGATGCCCCTGCTCCTGCCGCCCCGTGGGCCCTCTTCCTGGTGTGCTGTTCACCTAGTTGTTCACTCTTCCAGCGCCTGCAGCCATGGCTTTGGTCCCTGGATGTGTCCGTGATGCCGTCCCGCGTCCACTGACAAGTCACTTCAGCCCCGGCTGGCCGCTCCGGCGAGCTCATCCTGAAACGATTTCAGCCGTGAGTGCCCTCCCCCTCCCCTCCTGTCCTCTGCGGCTGCGTCTCCCCCGCGCGCACTCCTGCAGCCCGACACTTAATTTGTCACGCGTCCCCGACAACTCGAGCGCACGTGCGGATCGCCTCTGCCGTGCTGCGACGGAAAAGGAATGTGTGAGTGCGTAAGTGCGTGAGTGCGTCAGTGTGTGAGTGTGTGCGTGGAGGGAGTGATGATGATGGTTGTGATGGTGATGGTGACGGTGATGATGGTGATGATGATGGTGATTGTGACTATGGTGATGGCGATGCTGATGGTGATGAGAATGGTGATGATGATGGTGATGGGGATGGTGACGGTCATGGTTATGATGGTGATGGTGATGGTGATGGCGATGGTGATAGTGATGGTGATAGTGATGGTGATAGTGATGGTCATGGTCATGGTCATGGTCATGGTCATGGTGATAGTGATGGTGATGGCGATGATGGTGGTGATGGTGATGGTGATGGTGATGATGGTGATGCTGAGGGTGATGGTAATGGTGATGGTGATGGTGATGGTGATGATGCGGATGGTGATGATGATGGTGGCGATTTTGATGATGGTGACGATGACGATGATAATGACGATGATGATGATGCTGATGATCATGATGATGCTGGTGATGATGATAATGATGATTATGGTGGTGATGGTGATGATGGTGATGATGGTGATAATGATGATGATGGTGATGATGGCGATGATAAAGATGGTGATGATGGTGGTGTGCTGAAGATGACGATGATGATGATGATAATGGTGATGATGATCATCATGATGATGATGGTGATGCTGACCATGATGATGATGATGATGATGATGATGAGAATGATGATGATGATGATGATGATGATGATGATGATGATGATGATGATGATGATGATGATGATGATGATGATGATGGTGGTGGTGATGGTGGTGGTGATGATGGTTATTATTAGTCACCTCCTGCTGTGCAACGATGGCTACATTACCAGACTGCCGACAGAGAAAATGCGCATGCAGTGCTTATAAAAAAAACATGCTAGAGAAAGTGTGCTCATTAGAAGCTTAACACCGAGAAGAAACTCCAGTCTGTCAATGGACCATCCGTTTGGAAGAAACATCAGAGTAGATAGAGCTCTCTTCACCCATTTTTCCTCGGCCTGGAAAACGTCCAAACGATTTGGAAGGAAAACGTAGGCGCAGGTCAAGATGTGGTGGGGGATTCCAAACTGCGAATCATGATCCCATACGAGCCGATCGCATTTGTCGGGCGGTGGCCACCGTCCGTCCGGATAAGAACATGTTGCTGACTGCAGCTCTGGGCCAAATCTATGCCAGGACGGATCTGGAAACATGATTGCCATGTTTGCGAGACGGTCTGCTTCTTTGTTATATTGTCTTGGGCGCCAGTGAAGAAACTCACCACTCAAATGTCCGTCCTGGCATCCTGCCCTGGAGTGCAAGGCCGAGCAGCAATTCCGCTGACTCAACGAGCAACTTCCTGGCCGTCACGTTACTGTCTGCGTGACGTCCCAGCATTTTATAAATAATCTGCGAATCCTGTATCAAGCGGAAACATCCTTGAGACAGATTCTACTGCTTGCCTATGTCCAAGAGGGTCGGCTGGAGCCCCGCAAACAAGCAACTATATCTGTCGGCGAAAAAGTTCAAGCAAAAAAGTCTGAGAATTCTTGGTTCGGTGGTGGGTCTCCTCTTGGGCCCAGGTTCGGCCATGATGATGCTGAAGATGATGACCATGATGATGATGATGATGATGACGACGATGATGATGACGATGACGATAATGATGATGGTGGTCGTGTAGTAATGGTGATGGTGATGATGACGATGATGCTTACTCTGACGATGACGATGGCGATGACGATGACGATGACGATGACGATGACGATGATGCTGATGATGATGATGACGATGACGATGACAATGATGATGACGATGATGGTGATGATGATGCTGGTGATGATGGTCATCATATTGAGGATGATGTTGATGATGATGACAACGACGACGGTGACGACGACGACGACGATGATGATGATGATGATGATGATGATGATGGTGATGAAGGTGGTGACGGTGATGATGATGATGATGATGATGATGATGATGGTGGTGATGATGATAGTGGTAATGGTGATGGTGATGGTGATGGTGATGGCAATGGTGATGGTGATAGTAATGGTGATGATGATGATGATGAGTATGATCATGATGATGCGGACGATGGTGATGGTGATGATGATATTGCGGATGGTGAGGACAATGATGACGATGAAAATGACAATGCTGATGATGATGATGATGAGGGTGGTGACGGTGATGATGATGATGATGATGATGGTGATGATGATGATGATAGTGGTAATGGTGATGGTGATGGTGATGGTGATGGTGATGGTGATGGTGATGGCAATGGTGATGGTGATGGTAATGGTGATGATGATGATTATGATTATGATGATGCGGACGATGGTGATGGTGATGATGATGATAATGATGCGGATGGTGAGGACAATGATGACGATGAAAATGACAATGTTGGTGATGATGATGATGATGATGATGATGATGATGATGATGATGATGATGGTGATGGTGATGGTAATGGTGATGATGGTGATGATGCGTACTACTACTACTACTACTACTACTACTACTACTACTACTACTACTACTACGACGACAACGATGTTGTTGATGGTGATGGTGGTGCTGATGATGATGAGTGTAAAAGAAAGGGGCTGGGAGGTTCATGCGCGGTGGGGCACAGAGAAAACAAGAACTCCACTTAGGATATGGGAAATAGGAGAGGGGAGCCAAGGTGGGCGCCGCGACTGTGAGAAAATCCGGAGGTTGCCCCGAGCCTGTGTCACGCCCAACACGCTGGGGTCGAGATCCTGCATGGCGCCTCCCGACATGGACGCTTTGGTTGCCTCCAACGCTCGTTTCCGCGACAGGCGCTGCCCATCTGGGTCCAGATCGAACATGTAGTGACCTTCGGCCGTAATCTCCACTGTAACCTCCTTGTCTGTGGGTGCGGCCACGATCATCTCTTCCTGGTAATTCGCTCGCAGCTTCTTCACGAAGACATTGAACAGCTCCTCCGCGGCAGCTCGGTGAGGAGGGGCCGCGGGAAAGAAGAGCGAGCCTCCAGGCGTAGCGACCAAGCCTTTACACCCGAGCTTGCGCCGCACCTTTCTCCTCCCCTCCCTCCGTCTATCTCTCTCCCCCTCTTTCTCTCTCTCTCTCTCTCTCTCTCTTTCGTTATTTTGTTCACTATCTCTCTCTCTCTCTCTCTCTATCGCTCTTTTTTATCTCTCTCTCTCTGTCTCTCTCTCTCTCTCTCGCTGTCTCTATCTCTCTCTCTTTCCCCCTATCTATCTCTCTCTCTCTCTCGCTCACTCCTTCTCTCTCTCGCGCCCTCTCTCTCTCTTTCTCTCTCTCTCTCTCTCTCTCTCTCTCTCGGGGGGGAGGGCAGTCCCCGGCATACCAGGCCTGGGCAAGGCAGCTGGCGGCGGCCTCCTGGTGCCAAACCTGGCCCGCGCGCAACAGCAACGCCAGAATATTTGGAGGCAAGGAGGAGGAGGATGAGGAGGAGGAGGAGCAGCAGCAGCAGACGGAGGAGGAGGAGGAGGAGGAGGAGGAGGGGCGGAGGAGACAGCAAGCAGAGGCGGCCAGGCAGAAGGGGCAGGAAAGAGGGGGGCGGGGGCGGGGGAGGGAGCGGATGTCGTGGGAGTAGTCCTTGCGGCGGTGGTCGTCGAGGTCGCGGTCGTTGAGGTGGAGATCGCGGTCGTCGTCTCTCTCTCTCTCTCTCTCTCTCGTTCTCTTTCTATATCTCTCTCTCTCTCTCTCTCTCTTCGCACAGCGGGACACCTCAACCCGCGCACGTGCCACCCTGACCAACCCCACTGCAGTGCGCTACTCGCTTGCATGCGATGCTCCACGCTGATTGACCAGCGCGCCCCGCTGACAGCCCGCCCAACAGCCCGTTGTGGCCCTAAGTCGGGCCTGTCCCCCTTCAGGGGGGATTTTGGGCGAAAAGTGGGAAATACCTCAAAACGGTAAAACAATACTCATCCCTCGATTATGTTTGACTATTTTTGAATATTCCTCCTGTAGAGGGACAGGCCCGACTTAGTTGTGGCCCCTTCGAGCGGGCCGAACCCACACCGACGCGATCCACGAGCCTGACACAACGTGCGGAACAGACAAGTCCCACCCCATACGCGATCCACTCTCTGCCCTGCTACTGTGTGGCATCGAGTGCCCGCTCCAAACTCGGCGCCTCGATCAGGGGCGACCTCCTCCTCCTCCTCCTCCTCCTCCTCCTCCTCCTCCTCCTCCTCCTCCTCCTCCTCCTCCTCCTCCTCCTCCTCTTCCTCCTCCTCCTCCTCCTCTTCCTCCTCCTCCTCCTCATCCTCCTCCTCCTCCTCCTCCTCCTCCTCCTCCTCCTCCTCCTCCTCCTCCTCCTCCTCCTCCTCCTCCTCCTCCTCCTCCTCCTCCTCCTCCTCCTGGGTGAGCAGAATCCCCTGTGGCAAAACACCGCCTCAGTGAAAACGACCTGGGATTAGGTCGAGCCTGTCCCCCTACAGGGGGATTTAGGGCGAGAAAATAAAAATACTCCAAAAATAATCCAAAAATGATCAAAAATCGTCCCCAGACTATTTCTTGACTATGTTTGGATATTCCCCCTGTAGAGGGACAGGCCCGACTTAAACCTGGGACCACATCCGGCGGGCGCAGGCCCACAAGCCACAACGCCCTCACGAGAAGGGCAGATCTCGAATCGACCTGGCAGAGCGAGGGCTCTGTCGGCCTCCGATGCTGCCACCGACGACGCGCGTTAAGTCGGGCCTGTCCCTCTACAGGAGGTATGTTCAAGAATGATAATATATATAATAAATAAAGAAAAATCTGCGGACGAGTTTGTATTGTTTCCCTATGTTTGGCTTTTTTTGATTTTTTGTTTTTCGCCCAAAATCCGCCTGTAGGGGGACAGGCCCGACCTAAGACGAGCGCCTCTCTGCCGGCATCCGCGGAGGGTCGCCCTGCAGCGCGCCGAGCCGGGCACACCGTGTGCGGCGGGGCCGCTCGGCGATGGAGGGAGGAGGGGGAGCAGCGGCACCGGGGGAGGGGGGCGGTGACGAAGTGGGGGCGAGAGCGAGGAGAGGGAGGAGGGAGGAGGAGCGGAGAGGAGGGGAAGGCAGGGAGGGAGGGACGGAGGCGGAGGGGAGCGGGGGAGAGGAGGAGGAGGGGGAGAGGAGGAAGGAGGAAGGAGGAGGAGGAGGAGGAGGAGGAGGAGGCGAAGGAGAAGGAGGAGGACGCGAAAGGAGAGAGGGGGAGCAGAGGGTAAGGAAGAAGGAACGACCGCAACTGCAGGCAAGCGCCCTGGCATAGTTGAGAACAGGCGGATGAGGCCGTGGCCTCTGAATTCTTCGTTATACTTGTTCGTTGCTATTTTCTGTTCATGGGTTATGTACGCTGGCTACTGAGGGGAAGAGAGGGGAGTCCAGAGAGGAGAAGAGGTCAGGAGGGCGGGGGAGACAGGCACGAGGAGATGAGGGAAGGGGCGGGGAGGAAGGAAGTGGATGGCCAGTCTTTGGGGGGGGAGGGAGGAGGGGAGGGGAGGGGAGGTGGGGAAGGGGGGAGGGGATGGGAGTGGAGGGGAGGGAAGAAGGGAGGCGGCTAGGGGAAGGGGAGGTTAGGGGGAGAGAAAGGGGGTGGAAGGGGAGGGGGAGGGAGTGGCCAAGGCCTCCCCGCTCCCTGCTTTCGGGCCGCCGATCCGCGGACTGCCCGAGGCTCGGGGCGCCCTGCGTGTCGCCGGGCGCGCCCATGCCGAGAGAGGGCTGCAGGGTGACGAGCACCTCGTGGCAGGGCGGTCCACACGCGTCGCCGTGCCGTCTCCGCCCCCGACCCCCCCGCGCGGCACGCCCGCTGCCCCGCGCGGCACGCCAGCCCCCCACGGCCCGCGGCCACCGGCCAACGCCACACCGGCTACGGCCCAGCCGGCCGGCCGGCCAGCGCCAGGGCGGCCAGCCGGCCGCCCATCGGGCCACCCGCGCGCCCGCCCGGGGCAGAGAGGCGGCCGCCCGCCGCGCCCTGGGCGTCGTTTTCTCCACCCGCCCCCGAGGCACGACACTGACTCCTCCCCGGTGGGGCGCGCATGGCACGGGAGAGCATCCTGCGACGGGAAGAACCCCCACGCAGGCACTCGACGAGGGACAGGGAACGAAGCACAGGGAGACGACGACGACGACGACGACGACGACGACGACGAAGAGGAGGAAGAGGAAGAGGAGGAAGAGGAGGAGGAGGAGGAGAAGGGACACCGCAGACCCTCCTGGCTAGGGGCAGGGAGGCCGCAGCGCGCACCCACACACACACACACAACTCACAACGCTGCCTCTGTTGCCACATCCCACGCTGCCGCCCCTGCCACCACTGCCTCTCTTCCTCCCCCTTGAAATTCATAATATTGGGCTTCTTTCCTCTGTATCCCTGTCTGTCAGTCCTTACTTCTACAAACCGCCAGTGACCCCTGGAGCGACGCTCGTGGGGTCATCTGGCCCTAGCTTGATCGACTCCCCAGGGCCGACCGGCCCTAGGGGGGAGGGCCACGAACGACGGTCTTTCCGGCCATCATGAGTCAGGGATCAGGAGGAGTGGATCAGCGTGGTTGATCACGCCCCGGGTGTCGTAATCGAGACTCCCCCCGACTGGAAACAGCTGCGCGCTGGCAGAAATAGTCGGCGCCAGCGCTGCTCGCAGAGTCGACTACGGGGATCGCGAGTGTTTGAGACGCCCTGGAGCCCCAGACCTGGCTGAAACTGGCGCGTTCCCACGAAACGTCGACAACTACGTGCCAATATGATGTAATTCGATGACGAGGTCGGCCAGCGCCCAACCCCGTGCCTGTCCCCAGGGAACCACTAAAGCGCGCAAAAAAAAACAGAAAACATCCGAAAACACGCCCCAGGACCTCGAACGCCAATCGTCGAGGACGACGACGACGACGACGACGACGACGACGACGACGACGACGAGGACGACGAGGACGACGACGACGACGACGACGACGACGACGACGACGACGACGACGACGACGACGACGACGACGGTTTCTGCAGCCCACTGTGCGACGGGCGATCTTACCCTGAGAGTTCTCGGAGGCCTTCGAAAGCCTCGGTGGGCTTCTGGAGGCTTTTTGGGCCCCGCCGGGTGCTTGCCTTCTGCCGCCTGGCCTCGGCTGCACACGAAAGAACAGCTACAGGCAAGGAGTCGAATCCGGCGCGCCGCCTACTGGCCGTCGCATGCGGTGCGACAGCAGCGGCCTGCGCGCTTGGCTCTTGGCTCCCAGCGCCCCCCGAAAGCCGCGCTCCAGAGGTCGCTGCGGCGGAGGGTCACTCGGAGGTACGGCTGAGCCCTCGCCGAGAGAGCTTTTTCCGGGCACCCCGGGGGGGAACGTCCCGAATGGCAGCCACCAGGGTATCAGGGGTGTTCCGAGACGGAGCCCGATAGAAGCGTCGATGAGATCTACGGCGGCCGATCGCTATAGCCTCGCTTCGGGCCCTCAAAGACCGATCAGGACTCGGGAGCTCACGCAGACAGAGCGGGATCGGGATCTCCAGCCGTGACTTTGCGCGACATTGATTTTTCACGACGTCGAACGTCAGGGAAGAAGGCCCAGTGTCCCAGAGGATGCCAGGGAGGAAGGATGAGGAAGAGAAGAGTAGGAAGAGGAGGAAGAAGAAGAAGAAAACAAAGAAGAGGAGGAGGAGGAGGAGGAGGAGGAGGGAGGAGGGAGGAGGAAGGAGGGAGATCGTCGTCAAACGTCGGACGAAGCGTCTCGCTGTTATCCAACACTTAGGGTGGGCTGGGTGGCGCAGGCAGGAGTGAGGAGGAATGAGGGAGGCGGGATGAGGGAGGAGGGAGGAGAGAGGAAGAGGAAGAGGAAGAGGAAGAGGAAGAGGAGGAGGAGGAGGAGAAGGAAGGAGGAGAAGGATAAGGAGAAGGATAAGAAGAGAAGGGGAAAGAGAAGGAGGGCGAGCGCTGACAAGGCCCAAAGTTGCGTGCGCACTGGCGCCTCCTTAAGGCAGTTCCACCTGGTCTCAACAGGCCCCCATGTCCCAAGAGTAGTCCAGGGTGGTCTCAACACCCCAGCACCGCTTCCGGCGGCGCCCCCGAGGCCCTCCGCGCCCTCACTCGCCCAGGACTGAATGGGGTGCCTGCTGAGGCCAGGACTACCTCACAGGTCTGTCCGTGGGCCCCCTTGGGCCATCCCTCTCATCCGTGGTCGCACTTTTTGTGACGTGGGCCCCCGAGGAACCTCGACCCCCTCCAGGGACCGGCTCTTTATCCACAATCCTTTCTGTTGACGGTCCCGGAGCCAGGAAGCGGCCCGAAGGGGCCGACACGCTGGAAAAGCTGTCATGTGTTTTACTGTTGCGGCGCTTAGACCTGACGGCCAGAGAATACCCAGTCTCCGAGGGTCATCAGGAGGTCTCTGGAAGTCCATGGCGATGCCGACGGTCTCTGGAGGCCTCCTCAACAGGCCGCCAGAGGTCACTCCCAAAAACCTCTCCCAACAGGCAAGGCAACCCCATGCCCACAATTGTAGAGCACTCGTGACAAGGCGTCCGGGGCGATCCCGAGCAGTGCGCTGGAATCTCTTGATATGGTGGTCGGGCAACCACCGCGTCCATGGAATCACAAAGAGACCCAAACAGCCGGAGGATCTCAAGCTTCAATGCCGGATCGCCGATCCTCGATCAAGGTGCCTCGTAGCCGTTGTCGACCACGTTCGTCTTCCAGAGGTCGCTCGGGTTCGACAGCTCTGGCCACAGGTTGAGCTGCAGCGCCTGCAACGCCAGGTCCTCCGCGGCGTCCTCGGGGACGGCAACACCACGTAGGTCCAAGGAATCATGGAACCTTCTATGGAGCAAGAGGAGCAGGAGGAGGAGGAGGAAGAAGATCCTCCAGCTCCTCCTCCTCCTCCTCCTTCTTCTTCTTCTTCTTCCTCCTCCTCCTCCTCCTCCTCCTCCTCCTCCTCCTCATCCTCATCCTCCTCCTCCTCCTCCTCCTCCTCTTCATCCTCCTCCTCCTCCTCCTCCTCCTCCTCCTCCTCCTTTTCCTCCTCCTCCTCCTCCTCCTCCTCCTCCTCCTCCTCCTCCTCCTCCTCCTCCTCCTCCTCCTCCCCCCTCTCGCCCTTCGGGGCCGGCCACCTCGCGCAGATCGAAAGAATCGTGGCATCCTCCCAGCGCCCTCGCTCCCTGCTGTCTCTGCTACTAATTATTGCCCCTGGCCTTCGAGGACCTAGGAGGGAGGTCGTCGGGCGCTGTCGAGGACGCTGTCGAAAGCCTTCTGGCCTTTCTTCGGACCGACAGAGGCCTGCAGAGACCTCTTCGGAGGCCTCCGGTGACCTCCAGGGACTCCCAGCGCCCTCGCCCCCGCTGCCTCAGCTATGGAGCCCCCATCGAGGGCCAGCACGAGGCCCACAGGCTGCGCACAACGGGAAGAGGTCATCTGGGCATCACTGTGCGCTTCTGCCCCAGACCTCCAGTGTCTCTGTCTTGACGGCCCGACACTTTCCCGCCAGACTGATTCCTCGCCGTGGGTAGCATGGGAGGGCCCACGGGCCCGAGAACGGCCCCCCGGCGCGGGAAATCGCGAAAGAACCATGTTTAGGGTTGGGCCCTCGGTTGGGATGAAGCACGTGTTGCTCACCTCACCTCTCCAGCCTCTTCCCGTGTCCTTTCGCTTCCTTCCTAGTCCCCCCATCCTTTTCTCTCGTCCCTTGCTCCTCCCTCTTCGCGTTTCCTGTTCCCTCCTTCTCTATCGTCCCACCCTCCGATCTTCTCTGCATTCGCCCCGATGGATGCTGCCAATGGACGCACAACTGCCACCTCTTTCCTATGCCCGTGGGGGGAATCCAGCGAAGTCGCACCTTACGAAGACCAAATGGAACCTCGCGCCCCTGGGCGCTGCCAAGCACACAGCCGGCCCCGCTTTCCTACGCACTTGCTGGAATTTAGCGGAGCGGCCTCTTGCGCAGATCATGCGAGAACCTCGCCCCCATGGGCGCTGCCAACAAACACCCAATTGGCACCATTTCCTGCGTCCCTGGGCATCCAGCGAAGTGGCGTCTTACGCAGGCCAAGCGAGACAACGCCCCACTGGGTGCTGTGAAACCACAGATGGCCTCGTTTAGCCGCGCAAGCTGGGTGGTTCAGCGGAGTGGCTCCTAACGCAGGTGTGATGAGACCTCGCTCCCTGGGTGCTGCCAACAAACGCGCAGCTGTCTTCACTGTCCTGCGCCCCTGGGGGGTCCAGCGCAGTGGCGTCTTACGCGGATCAACTGAAACCTCGTCCCGCGGACGCCGCCACATGCATGGCTGCCCCAGCGTTCCCGCGCCCCTGGGGTCCAGCGAAGTGGCGTCGTACGCAGGTCCAGGAGGGCTTCGCAACGCTGGTTGCTGCCAAACGCAAGACTGGCATGAGTTTCGTGCGCTTCTGTGGGGGGTCCAGCCTAGTGGTGTCTCACGCTGATCAACTGCGACCTCGCCCCCGCGGGCGCTGTCAACAGACGCACAAGAGACCATAACTTCCTGCCCTGGCTCCAGCAGTGTGACGTCTTGCGCAGATTGAGTGAGGCCTCGCCCTCATGGGCGCCGCCGACAGACGTACAAGTGGCAACTTTCCTGCGCCTCTGGGCGGTCCAGCGGCATGGCATCTTAGGCACATTAGGTCAGACATCGCCCCCCTGGGCGCTGCGAACAGACGCACAACTACGCGCCCGTGCGCCCCTAGGCAGTCCAGCGGAGTTACGTCTTATACAGACTTGATGAGGCCCCGTCCTCATAGGTGTCAGAAGGCCCAGGCCCTGCCAGTCGCCGTCTCATAGGGTAATGTGCGCGAGGCTCCACTGGCGAGTGGCCTGTGGCGGACGAAGCTCCACTGGAAAGACGGGGGGGGCAACCTGAGGCACCCGACCTCGCTGGAGAACATGCACATCCTCCCCATGCACATGCTGTTCCTCCACTCCCTCCTTCTTCCTTTCCCCTTCGTCCCGCTTCCTGCTCCCTCGTTTTCTTGAGCCCCCAAAAGCCACCATCCTCCTCCACCCCTTGTCCTTATGGATAACTCCTCCGCGTCGCGCCCCCAAACGTGTCGGTAGGGCGGCCTGGGCGTTTCGCTGGACGCCTCGCCGAACTGCATGATTGCGTCATGTCGCAGGCCTTACTACTTCTCGCTGGAAGGATGCAGGGATACTCCATTTCAAAGCGGGGCAATCAGCTGAATGGCAGACCAACGGGCTGCTGGTCTTTCAAGGGGGCCCTTATCGTAGTGAAAAAAAGCTTGTAGGCAAGTAGGTGGAGAGCACTTGGAACGAGTGGGTGCATTGCAGCATCGTTGATGCAAGTTCAGCTTACTGTGGTCCTCCTCCTCCTCCTCCTCCTCCCCATCCTCCTCTTACTACTACTACGATTACTACTACGATTACTACTACGATTACTACTACTCTACTACTACTACTACTACTACTACTACTACTACTACTACTACTACTACTACTACTACTACTACTACTACTACTACTACTACTACTACTACTACTACTACTACTACTACTACTACTACTACTACTACTACTACTACTACTACTACTACTACTACTACTACTACTACTACTACTACTACTACTACTACTACTACTACTACTACTACTACTACTACTACTACGAAAACTACTACTACTACTACTAACAACTAGTACTACTACTACTACTCCTACTGCTACTACTACTAATACTACTACTACTACTACTACTACTACTACTACTACTACTACTACTACTACTACTGCTACTGCTACTACTACTACTAC